TATGTTAATAAAACAAGCTTTTATATATGTAAACACACACATATGTATATATGAGTGTAAACACACACGTTTGCTTATTCTTTCTCTATGCAGTCTTCAAGTTACCACACCCAAATACAGAAACCAGCCCCACTTAAAGCCCCAATCTATTACAATGGCTAATCCTCCTATGATGCTAGTTGCACCACACCTACTTCTCAATTGCCTCATCATCCTCCCAGAAACAGCTAAGTTCTGGAAAACCAGTACAAGGCTATCCTTCTAAGCACAGATGTAGCTTCTATTTATCCAAGCAACTCAAAATGAAGATTCACAAATGACAACATCTCACTAATGATTTCCCCCAGCCCTCCTGCCCATGCTACTGTTTAGGAGCAGAGGATGGAGTGGGTTCCCTTGGGAGCCTAGAATGGGTAGAGGTGAGAATTTCCCAGTACTAGTAGCTTTATTCCAATTCTGCCACATTGGCCTAACAGGGGACATGAGCTTGTAGGGGTTTGTTGAGGGAAGAGTGGAGGAAGATGGACAGAAGACAGAAGCAGCTACTGTTAGATTCCCTGATCCTCCTAAAAGAGGGGCAAAAGTATGCCCAGATGGAAATGATTGTGAGAGCAATTCTGGGTTGAAGAGCATATGAGCCTGGTTTGCATGGAGTAAAACAGAATCACTGAAATTAGCCCAGGCAATTAAAAAAGGCATCAGGTATGGACTCACTAAAAGAAAAACCAATATTCATAAATTTTCTTACAACCTGAAGAGAAAATAAATAATTAGCATTATTATATTTTATCAAATTTAAGATGCCATTATTATAGTTTATAAACTCTAAGATGTCATCAGTTACACGCATTGTTATTCTATGTAATATGAATTAAAAACTCTGCCATTTAAACTATAATATTATGTTCACATCAATTATAAGATGCATCCCAATTTCAAAGAATGTNACTGAATCTCAAAATATGGTTACTATTTATTAGACATTAATAGTTTAAAAGTAAATAAAAGGAGCTAAAGTTATAACCCCACAGGGTAAAACTTTTCAGGGGACATGCTGAAGGAACAGTGCAAATAACTAAAGAGACTAACCCTAGGAATGGATCCAACCTTTCATAGTAGCTGTCAAGAAGAAAAGTATTATCAAATCTTACCTGGAGACAGAGCAAGTGCTGGCCTGACAGTAAGGGTGTTGTTGCCTCTGAGTTTCTGATGGACAGAAACTGCATTCAGCAAGGCTTGCAAGTACTTTTCTTGTTCTATGCTACTGGAAGATTCTAAAGAGGAGGTAGGTGCTATAAAATGAAATGATATTGAATAAATTAATCTAT